ACGTTCCTATTTTTAGTTTTCTATACTGCCTTATAAGCTAGCTGTTTTGTTTTTTTTGCTACTTTTTTCCTTTTGACTGTCCTTTTGGTTGCCATTTTATTTTAATTTATTAAAAAAAATATTAATTTGTATGCCTCTTTTATGAACGTCTATTGTTGTCGTTGTTATCCACTGTTGTCATCACTCTTTGTTAAAGAAATCAAGTCTCTTGTAAATGAGTCCCCGAGGTTCAATGGGATTAACCGGTCTAAATAAAGGTTGAATGAATATTCACTGCCATCGGTTTGCCTGGTACTAAAATAAGACGGAGCTTCTGGGCATCTGAGAAATGTGCTTTGACTGTAGCGATTATACAGTGTACAGTAAATCCCACTGAATGCCTTCTATTGACAACAACACAATAAAACACAAATTGGTTAAAAAGTAATTAATACTCTGAGTAGTTTTTAAGAAGAGTACTTTGTACTTTTACTTAAGTGTTTTTATAACACCAGTATTTCTACTTGTAATTGAGTACAATTTAAGAAGTGCAACGGCACTTGTACTCGAGTACAAATTTTCAGTACTCTTTCCACCTCTGCTGTGACCAGTCAGTGAGGAACAGAAAGAACTGGTTGTTTTTGATATCGTCATGATGGAGTTGATATGATATGGTGACGTGTCTCGAGCAGAGTCCATGACTCAGATCCACTCCTTCCTGTCTGCAGCTGACCATTCGATGACGGCTCGGACATGGAGGGGAGGAGCTGAGGCCTGGGCTGGAGGTTATTCTATAAAACTAACTGGTCCGGTCCAGAGAGTTAGAACAGGTCAGGGTTTCACACGGATGAGAGCACTGATAACAGTGTGATCTTGTAATTGCATGTTCTGTGAATGTTGGGACCGCTCTCCAAAGCTTTGTAAATAAATCTGATGAACTACACCTTGGTCTGTTTTGGGAATCTCCTTTTTTCCCCGACAACACAATGAATCCATAAAAAGAAGTGGTTGAAGAGATGAGCATAGAGACGTCCACAATCTGATCCCAGAGGAGACATTTTATTATTATTATTATTTTTTTTAATCTTTCTTTCTTTTTTCTGCTAGTAAATTGACAACATGCTGCAGTTTGGTGCAAATAATCACTTTTTCCAGGTAATTAGGTGATTGATTAATTTTATTTTTAGACTTACTGAAGCCCAGTTGCAGCTCAGCAGTGCAGGTTCCAGCGTACAGGTCACAGCAGGTTATTTTTTGTTTCTGCTTTTGGAATCAGGGGCTCGTTGGTCGTACATTGATGCAGTTTTAATTTATTTCCGCCGTACGGTTGGCAGGGTATGACAACAAACTGAGCTCGGGCCTGTTTGTGAAGTGCAAGGGTTGTTGATTAAGTGATAAATCTATCTTGTCCGTCTGGAAAATGACAGCAGAACATTTGAACAGTAGGTCGGCTCCAGCAGGGCACGTTTGATTTACGTTAAAGGGGAGATTTCAGGTTTCCAAGTGTCAGTAGAAGCTGGTTTTTACGAGGCACTATACTGTTTTTCACTGGAGCTCTCGCCATCCGTTGGCGGAACATTTATTTTTTCGTGTGTCTAATAGAAATTGCCAGAGCCCTGTGTGGATGCATTGATTTTAAAGTATCATCAAGGAAATTTGAGGGTGAGGATGAAGGAAGGTGCTGCTGAGGAGGGAAAGAAAATCATTTTTAGACCAGGAGAAGGGTTGAGCCTGTGAAGATAAAGATTAATGGCCATTTTGCTTGTGGAACCTACGTTTGGCAGCTGCACAAGAGTCATTTAGGGTGTCATCTTTGAATGTGTGTGTGTAAGTGTGTACTGGCTGCACAATGGACTAGAAAACAGACGAGCTGCATTACGTCCACAGACGCTGCTCGCCCGATGAGGATTGATCGTGTGTTTGAGTCTGTTGCTGCCTCTGAGTCGGTAAGAAGTGATGGATAGTGTTGGTGGAAGAATGTGTCTCTTAAACGAAAGGAAATAACAAGGCGTCATTTTAAGACAGTTTAAATAAAAGGCCTAGCATTCCTTAAGGAATTTAAATTGCTCGGTTGGCTCCAAAATTTAATCAGTTGTAAATGTACTGGCAACAATTACTCTCTGGGAGTTTCAGTCAAATCCTTTTCTTGATTCATTAAATATTTTGGTAACAAACAAGGTTGACTCCCACAACTAATGCTAGTTACAAGTAAAAACATTTTTTAATGAATAGCACTTGGGTGTGGGCTGTGAATGACTCTCAGCTACGATCACGCCAAGTTTTAGCAAAATATCTTTACAATTGACTGAGTTATAGACATTTCTTGAGTTGGATTAGCTTCAGAAGGTAATTAGTTGTAAAAGTACATTCAGTGATTATTACCTGAAAGTATAATTAAAATCTGTCCAATGGTTTGTGTGATATTTTGCTAACAGACAGGCAAAAGTTGATTTCAGCGGTTAATGCTTTAATGTAGATGTTTTAAACACAGACAGGAGATCAGTCAGCTCTAAAATGGGGATATGTCTCATCAAGTTTTAGCTCATCATAAAATTGACCGTTTTACTCAATTTGGATTTTAAAAAGGTAATTAGCTGTGGCGGCCATCTTGGAACAAGTTCCCAAAGTTGATCAGGCGCTTCAACATTTTTTTTTATTGTCGCGAATAAAAAAAACAAGTGGAACGTTAAATTAGATTAAAGGAAACATGATAATTACTATAGATCCATTTTCCAGTGTTTACAGTTTCATATGTTTTAATTAAATAAAACTGGATGAGAGCGGAGATATGGAATATAACAAATTTCAGTTTTACTGACTGATTTTCTGTCACAGAAGTCAAACATTTTGCTCGTTTTCCCCCCTTAGAGACAAAGAAGATGTGAATAATGATGAACAGATCGGGGGAATTGACCACATCTCATGCACTACAGTGTATCGAACATTTAGACTTTTAGATTTTCACTCATGACACACAACTCTGTGAGGCCCGATTGGTTAATTCTGCCAGGATGTCCCTATAAAGACACTTTTAGACATTCAGTGTAACCTCTTAGCTCAAGTTTAATGTTTTATTTGAAATACTGAACATAAAATAATGTTCTTTCTTCCAGAACTTACAGTATTTATTCGTCTCGATGTGATCCAAACTCATTTATTGTGGTCGTGTGTGCACGATCGTCACTGTCTTGTAATTCAGAGCAACACAACAGAGACATATATCACCTATAAAAACATACAGGGTTCCTTTCCTGCGTCTCTGTCTGAGTTATCGAGTTAATGGAGGGCCTTGGCCAGGGTAACAGAGAGACCCTCCCTACAGGATAAGTGGATTATTTAATTATTGTCCACCTCCTCCTTCAGCCCTCCTTCCCACGTGACTCATCTGTGCTGTGCTTTCCATTTTGGACGTTTGTCCTCATCAGGTGTGGCTGCTCTCAGCCTGCTCAGACTGTACACATATTGCTTTCTTTTTACAAATTACCATTTCTGCAAACCCAGTCTGACATTTAAGGGGCAGCTCGGTTTCCTCATTCACCCTCCTCTCTATTCATTTAGTCGTGGCAGGAGAAGTTGATTTTTTTTATTTTTTTGCTAAGCCCATTACTCTTTCTCCCTCGACAGCAATGCTTTTAATGTTTATGGAGTGAAAGCCATTTGTAGCGTCACCGTAATGATCCATGACGTAATGGCTCCTTCTTGTAATTCAGAAGAGGAGTAAAGGACTGAGTAAAGCTGCAGCTGCACACGCAGAGCATGCTCAGTTCAGACCTCAAATCAGCGTATTTATCATCCTCCGTAAAGGTAGAGTGACTGACTGATTAATACAAACTAGTTGTTTGATGCAAACTAAAGTTAACAAAAACAACCAGTTGTTTTTACCATCCTAAAACAATAAATTAAAAGTCCAGCAAGGTCCAGTCAGGTGGCCAACTTATGACTATTAGGCAATTAGGCTATCACAACAACCCAGTGGTTTTTAGTGTGTAGGTAGAAAATGTTGCATTACAATGTAAAGAAAATTAAAAAGTCTGGAAATGCATTCAGTAAACTGTAACCAGGAGCTCAGATACTGATCCAGTCGTTAAATCACAGGGACTTTCTGTTTTCATTGTTTTAATCGCAGCAGATTGGAAGGTATATAAATACTAGAAAGTTCCTGGAGAAACTTTGACGGCTGCCACGTGGCGGCCATTTTAAATGTTTATTTGACAGTACTGTGTGTTGGGGTTCACTCTCAACTATCACTATATCAAATTTCAGCTCAAAATGGCAAAATATCAATGAGTTATAGTCATTTTTTCTAAGCTATGGTGGCCATCTTGGATTTTTTTTTGTTAAATTCAGTATGTGACGGGGAAGGTTCTCAGCTATAACCACACCAAATTCCAGCTCTATATGTGTAAAAAAAATAGCCACGTTAATGACATTTAAATGTAGCTTTGGCGGCCATCTAGATTTTTTTTTTTTGTTGTTGTTAATTATTTATTGGTCATTGCAGCTACCACTACACCAAATTTCAGCTTAGTATCTCTAAAAACCGATGATTGACATTATTTTTCCTTTTTAGCTCAGGTGGCCATTTTTGATTTGCAACCAGAATCTATGAAAAATGTTTAATAAAACTGGCGTCTTTATTTGCAAATTATGTCTCCATGGTAACTCGAAATGCCAATAAAAGTAATAGCACACATCACAGTGCCAATCTGGTCATTTTGATATAAAATTTCTCGGGGTACACATTGCTGTACGGGCCTCTATAAAGTTGATGGAAGAGTAAGATATAAAGTTAAGAAACCCTTGTTAGGTGGATAATAATAGGTGCTGCCTTATGAGGCAGTCCCCAATAACACTGTTGCATTTTTAGGTCTTAATAAATCAGATATAGTTTGCACAGTTTTCACTGAAAAACCCAGATCTATTGACTTTTAATTCACATTTTTATCTTTTTTTTAACGTATTTACTGTACTCGTTCTTTGGTGAATTGTTAAATATTCCCTCTGATTTTCTTTTCTTCCAGGTGGAATCGCTGGCGGCATCGAGATCTGCATCACTTATCCAACAGAATATGTGAAGACCCAGTTGCAGCTGGATGAAAAGGCCAATCCACCAAAATACAGAGGAATAGGTGAGCCTGTCTGTTTTCACGTTTTGTCTCTTTATCGTTCTCTGAAGCTCATTATCTAATTACCCATCATGCTCAGGTGAATTTGTGATTCTGGAAGTCTGTCACTGTGCTCGTTAAGGTGACTTAAAACAGACCGGTGCACACTCCTTATCCGTGAAGACCAGAATAGACAAACACACTTTAGGTTTGTTGATGTCTGCTGGGGCTCTGAGGGTTGGAGACTTTGCTAATGAGCACTGGAAACAGCTGTTGCTTTTCTTGCTTGGCTGTGCATTTATACGACCACATGGAGAGGCGAAATAATGTCCAAGAAAAAGAAGCTTTAAGTTTTGTTTAATTAAGTATTCATATAAATGAACCAGGCTCTTCGTTTTACATGCTGCTGTACCACAATGAAGCCAGAATCTGATATTCTGTGTGCTTTGGATGTGATATTGTCTTGTTATTCTGTTGCACTGTGTGTTTCTCCAGCTGACTGTGTGAAGCAGACAGTGCAGAGTCACGGTGTGAAAGGCTTGTACCGAGGCCTCAGCTCGCTGCTGTACGGATCCATACCCAAATCTGCTGTGAGGTAAGTCACACATCCGAGTGATAGTACAACATAGGCTGAATTAGTCCATTTATTCAGGTGTGTGAGAAACAATGTATGAATTTAAGCTACATAATGTTTTTTTTAATTGTACCAGTTTTAGGAAAAAACCTCTTATGAAGTTAATGTCAGCAGCACAGCTAAACAGTTGGGATCTCCATCTTTTATCTTTACTTCTGAGAGATTCAGTCTGTCTAAAATACCCATTTCATCGCAGAATGCTACCTGCTCCTTATTTATACAACTTATTTTACAGCCTTTGTCTTCACTTTTTTTAACTGTGTTGTTGCAGTCAAATTCAAAATGATCTTATTTCTTTTTTCTTAAAGTGGTAAAACTGTCAATTTAAACAAGTTCAATAGAGGGGAAACTATGGGTTTGTGAGAGCTGCACATGATTTATTCTGTTTTTATTCACATTTCACACACGTCCCAAACTCTTCTGGATTTAGGTTTATACACTGTCACACAGTTCTTCCAGGAAAAGATGCGTTCAGATGTCATTTGTTATAATTGGTGTAACTATAATTATTATATTAAGTGACTAAATTGACTGACTCCTCATTGCTTTTATTTAAAAGTAAATTTAGGATGCAGTAAATTTACATTTAGTTTTTTTGTGAAAAAAACAACCATGCATCAATTATAACAAATACACAATAAGTGACTGTTCATCATGTTTACATGGATTCATTATAACGTTTATGCTAATCTTTGTCAATTAAGCAATTTTGAAAAAGTTTCACCACTTTTATATTTGATATTTTGCATATTCTGCTCTGTAAATGAGATCATCTGAAAATACACGGACTGAAATGACAACACTCAGTTAAGTCGTGGTGATTTTCTACCTGAAACTTCAAACTCATGCTGTCCAATTATTCTAGTCCATTACCCACAATGCTTAGCACAAATGCCACACCAGCTTTCAGTGTAATTATGTTATTTTTTTCACAGAGCTGACATTTATCTACAGAGAAGTGTGCACACGCACACACACACCAAAGCTGGATGCTTTTGTTGTTGCTTTTTGTTCTCGTTCTTTTGCATTTTTGCTTCTTTTTATCGCTCTATTTTTTCCGTGTGTGTGTGTGTGTGGGGGGGGGGGGGGGGTGCTGCTGGAGGGTAGAGCTTGTCTGTACCACAGAGAGACAGGGCCCAGCCAGGCGGAGCGAAGATGCCATTCAAAATCAGACGGGGTCTCAATAGGGTACTGAGATTGAGACTTGTGATGAATGTGTGTGTGTGTGTGTGTGTGTGTATGTGTGTGTGTGTGTGTGTGTGTGTGTGTGTGTGTGTGTGCACATTTGAGTGTCAGTCAGTTTCAGCATCGTTTCCAGAGGGAGCTTGAATTGTTTTGTGTCAGTTTGACCATTTTTTCTATGAATATAAATCAAGGATGTTTTGAGAGGCTTGTTGTTTTTTAGTGTTTTAAAACCTGATTTTTTTTTTAATTTAATTTTATTTTAGAGAACTAAGATCGATCTTTTTAGTGCATAAGATTGAGCTCATGCACTACAAAGATAATTTATTAAATTGTACTCAATGTGAATAATCTGATGGCTGCAGAGTGCATAAACGTGTCTGTACAAGGATAGCAGGGGTTTCCAACGATTTAGGCTTGTGTTTCATTTAAACAAAGCTGCTCGGTGTTAAAGATTGACGAGTCATAGATATCCTGTGTTGTCTTTTAAACCATAAATATTAAACACAGTCTTTGCAGAAACCTTTTACATACTGTTACCAGCACACATGAATGTTGCTACGATGTTGTCTCAAAGTAGCCCCCGTTTTATGGAGCTGTGATGTCATTATAAGATCTTATGAATCATCCTGTAGAGGAAAAGTGTAAAATTAGACCTCAGTCTTTTTCAGCATAATTCCTGTATGTATTTATTTTAAAACTACTAATTGCAAACTCTAAAATAAAAACATACTGTAGAACAGGTTATCCTGTACTATATCAAATGATGCAGTTTGAAAGAATTGACTTCAGTTGTTTTCCAGATATATTGATTTGTTGTTCTGAAATGTAGGCATGCACTCGGTGTAAACAAAGCCCTCGGCTGGATGGCGTTGATCAGGGATGACTTCATGAGAATTGTGGGGAATTCCAGACGTCTGGCAAACAACGCAGTAGACCAACCACATGCATGATGGCTGCTTTCATCCATGTAAACTTAAATGAAAGCAACATTCCCGTGGCCAAAATCGACTTGGAATTGGAGGATACAGTAAAACACAGCTGAAGCGCTGGATATAATGAAGGGGACTAGCAATGTCTGGCAACCGGGCCGAATTGATAACGGAGTACATGTGGCGTTCCCGGTGTTTTTGTGCTGATTCGTGTTCTTTTGCCTCAGTGAAAAAGAACACAGATGACAGAAGATTTAGGATGTAGGATATGGGGTTCCGTTTGTAAAGTTACACAGTCAAAAATTTATCTTTTTATCTTTTTATCTGTTGCTGCTGATACACTGGAATTTCCCATCCGTGGGACAATAAAGGCTGTTTCTATTCTATTCTATTAACAGCAATATTTTAGTTTATTTAGCCTTTTAATAAGAAAAAAATATGCATGCTTTTTTTTCCAACGTCATACTTTCACCATATCATTCATACATTTATAGTTCCCATCTAAATATTTAATTTACAAGCTAAATATTTAGTTTACAATCTAACTACTTAACTTGCAAGTTAAATGTTTAGTTGGTAAACTAAATATTTAGGTGTAAATTAAATAATTAATTTCCAAGCTAAACATTTAATTCCTAAACTAAATATTTAATTTGCTAACTAAATATTTAACTTGCAAGCTAAATATTTAGTTAGAAAATTTAATATTTATTTGGGAAATTGAATGTTTAGCTTAGAAATTAAATGTTTAGTTTGGAAATTAAATATTTACCAAAATATTTAGTTTACTAACCACGTATTTAACTTGCAAGTTAAGTATTTAGTTTGTAAACTAAATATTTAGCATGTAAATTAAATATTTAGTTTGGAACTATGACATTTATAAATGTATGAATAACATGGTGAAAATGACTTTGAAAAAAAAATTTTTTTTTCTTATTAAAGGCTAAATAAACTAAAATATTAATGTTAATTTTTGACTGTATAACATTACAAACGGCACCCCATAGTAGGATGAATGCCATAAATCGCCATGTATTGCACAGGTTTTTGGTGGCATGAATGATTTAGTCAGCCGCTTCTTTAATTTTACTTTGTTAGCCTGGGTTAGCCGTTAGGTGTTAGCGATCGGTTATTTTGATCCTTTTTCAAAAATGAAAACATTGTAAGCAGGAGCTGAATTAAGCACCAAAGGAGATTAGTTAACATGGGCGTGTTGAAAAAGATGTTCAGTGTTCCTGTTAATTTCTGACTCGAAGGGGTGCAGGTAAAACATAATGGATACATGTGTAGTATGACATATCCTGTGATATATTCATACATTAAACGAGTTCTTTCATTTTTCTGGACTGAATGATGTCGTGCATTGAATTTAACAGAAATGTAACGTGAGACGTTATTTATCTTTGACCCATCAAAATGAATGCGGTCATTTATTTACAGAATCAAAGTTTAACATCAAACATTTACATTAATTTGGCAGAATATGAAAATAACAACATAATTAATCAGCTTTACAACCAGGAAAACCATACGGCCATGATTTTCCGTTGCTTCACCACAGACATTTCTGAGGACATCTGGATTAATTTGCTAGCAGATAGGAGAGTTTAAAGATGGAAAATTGAGATTTATCTACAGAGAGATGTGTGAGGGAATTTGTCTGTTTTAACCAGAACAGCACGCTCTTTTGGAAATCAGCTTGTCCCAACAGTACACTTTTGGTGAAGGTCAACTTTTACCTTTTCTGAAGATAGATCAGTTCCGGCGTGAAGTCCCACTTCCAGCCACTGTTCAGCGTCTCCATAAGAACAGCTAAAGACCTCGAGAGTCGTGTGAGGTTATCCAAACAGAAGTTATAATTCCCAAAATCGTCTCTGGTTCAGCTTGATTCTAATTCAGCAGCCTCCTGAATGCCAGCGTTCTGCATTCTGGAACTCCCAAACTCTCTGCATTCTGAATTCCAAAAACTCTGTTTGAACTAGGAAGTGCCAACATTTTAAAGAGCTCTACTTCCGGTTCATTTGAGAGCTTTTTGATTGGTCGATGGACCAAAGCAGAGGTGTGGTTTGTGATGTAAGGTGTTATTAAAAGTCAAGGAAAAGATTCAGATTGTTTAAGAACAGACAGAAAGATATCATGGAAAAACCAGACTTCGTGGAGTCACTCCTCCTAGTATCTTGCTGTAAAAGTTAAACATGACATTTCTTTTCAGTAAACTTTTAGTTGACCGAAACTCGAACTTTGACACACTTACAAATTTGCTCACTTCAAAGCAGACGAACAAGAAATTGAATCATTACTCTGTAACGTACTCTAACTTGATTTCACTTTGAATTGAGGATTAAAAATCATTACTACTGTTTAAGTAAATAAAAATGAGTAGTTCACTTCAACATGTAAACATTGTTTGAACTAACACAATTTGATTATCAAAACATTTGTAAAATAGTAATGATCATAGAGAATTGTCTTTTCCACTTGATTAATTCAAGAAAGAAAGTCTCAGGATCGATCAACCTGTATTTCTGGATGCAAATCAATGAAATGACAGTTTCTGACCATATGATCCTAAGGTCAAGATTTGACATCAGGTCAAGTTCACTACACATGGACATACCTGTTCAGGGACTGCAGTCACTGTTATGGGATCAAGGTGCTCCTGTCAGTTTGCTTCTTCCAACAAAGTGTTTCAAACAGATACTTTTGTTTACATTTGTCAGCGTATCAGCCGTCACTATTGCAAGTCCCGTAGCAACTAAACTTCTTAGATACCATTTTTTTGCCTTTTTTTTTTTTATCAGTGCAAACCACGACTACAGCACTTTTATTGTATCATAGTCAAAATCCTGTTTGCCAGACATCCGGGTACTTGTTGACGTTGTGAAGGGAGCCATTTTTAATAACTTGACCAGCGCTATTAATCAAAAAACACATAGAAGTTTGCAGCATGTTGGCCTACATGAAGTCTCAGTCCATGAAGGAAAACAAATATGGTGGAATCAAACAAGCGTAGAACCTCGGAGACGACGATTAGGCGGAGATTTGAGTGAATCTGCTGCTAAACGCAAATTAAAAGAGAATGAACGGGTTTGATAATCTGGAGATCAAGCAGGGCGGAGACGCCCACTGCCTTTCATGCCAAACGTTTTTACTGAAATAATATTTTACTGAGAAGGGACGCCATTATAGCTTTTTTTGGTTAAACTTTGTAACATCATGATCAATGCAATATTGTCAAATTATGCAAGATCTGGGAATGTTTTGAAGATCACCCTCAGCCACGACCACCAAATTATAGGTCAACATCTGTAAAACAGGCTGGGTTAAAGCCATTTTTGTATTGGCTAAGGTCAGTTGGCTGTGGCGGCCATCTTGAATTGCGTTCTCGCCACAGGTTAACCAGCTGTAGATGTACGTTCAGTGAGCGTTTCCTTAAAATATGTCCACTGTTTAGTGAGATGTTTTGCTAACACTATGAACACGCATGCTTATGAGCACAACATTGTCACCCCGCGCTTTTGGTGGCAAACAGGAAATAGCAAAACAACAATGTCGTGAATTTACCAACATTTAGAAGCAGAATCTAAGCTGAAGATAAGAAAAAAATCCATCGATTGGTTTTGATTTATTCAGAATACTTTTCCGTTTCTCTTTGGCCACTTAACTGTTTTTACATCCTTTTATCTTTCCTGTATCTTTTCATCTCATCCCCGCCACTCCCCATCATTCCTCCTCCTCCTCCATCCCATTAGCTGATTACTTTTGTCCCATCATGCACCACAGAGTACTGTGGAAGATTGCCAGAGAGGAATGAGAAGGACCTCTGTTTTTTCCTCCCCTTAACCCTTTATTCATTTCGGTTCCTCCCTGCACAACCTTTTCATCCTTCCCCTTCTCCACAGAAGAAATTACCTTGTAGGAAGACCCATTAACGAAGACTGTCCAAGATGACTCGTCTCGAACCATGGATGTCGGCCAATCGACGTGTCATGTTTTAACGAAAAAGTGCAGTCCTCGTGTTGGATGGTGAGGAGAGTAAATTGGCGAAGGAGCAGATCTGACATCAGCATATTTCTCCCCGACAGCCTTTAATGAACAGATTTGATCCACAGGGCTGTTTAATAAATGCTCTGCCATCCCTGTGCAGACGAGGCTGCTTTATGTACGTATGGAAAGATGCCTTATTGTTTTATTCTCTCCAAAGCCATAAAGGTGTTTGTAGCAAATGGATGGTTTGTTTTCATTTGTTGGTTAGTTCAGAGTCACGTGTGGGGAAAGTCTAGTTTTGAGCACAGTGAGAGGAACAGATGTGGAGGTTTAATGATCAGTGGAAAGTCTCATAGAAAGGCAGCTGGAGAAGAAAAACTAACGTTACATGAGCCCAGTAATGAGAAATTAATTCATTTTGAGCTGAGATGCAGGTAACTGGCCGAAGCAGAGAGAGAGAAGACAGAGGGAAATAAGGCATTTATCAAGACCTGGAGTCTGTCTTCCTCCTCCTCCCCTTTGGTAAATCGTAGTGTCCTGCTGTCACCACAACTCAATCCCGTCTATAAATAACCTTCCTTGTAATGAACTCGCCGGTACAACGTTTTCTGATCGCCGAGGTGCACAAACCATACCTTCCCTAGCAGCTGCCACTGGTTTATTGGCTTTATTTGTTGATCTCTAATGAGGGCGAAGCCGTGACAACGACGTCAAAAGCCTTCAACACATGTTGGACTTTCAGCAGTTTGTTGGAAGAAAGTCTGATGCTTTTGGTGGTTCTGTTTGTGGAGCTGAAATTAAGTTTGGATCTGTTCAGTTTTTGTTGCCTGAATCTGCAGATCTGCTGCATTCAGACTAATTAACCTTCCCTGCAAGACCTCGAGAGATCATTACTTGAACTTTTTATAGGAATTTAGTTTGTGTTTTCAGTTTATTATTTTCTTATGATTAACATGAGCAACAAAGCTGTTTGACAGCAATTAAAACATTACTTTATCTACATGGAGAACCCTCATGCCACGCTGAGACGCACGCGGCAGGATACGTCATGGATCTGATGTGCCTTTTCGTACAATCTCAGGAGGAATCGTGATAGCAGGGTTTCGCCTTTTGGGACTGGCGGATACATATGTTATCGGCTATTAAAGGAGAGGGCAACGGCAGTTTTGGTCATGACAAAGATGCCGACCCTGTCTGAAGGTTTGGTTCGTGCTTGGAGCACTCAAAATCAGCTGATTTATGAGCTCAACCGTAAGACGGCAGCGGAGTGAGGATTGCAGGCCACTTGCGGCTTCTGGGACTCGCCGGCATGTTGGAGACGATCTCGGAGGGAGCTAATAAGCACGGACCAGTGGAATGACCACAAATCTGGCCATTTTGGATTAAAAGTACCAGCAGAACTCAAGGCTGACGAGAAATAATATTCAGCCTGGAAAAAAATCAACAACTGTGGCTTATCTGAATCTGACGTCCCCGTTTGGTCTCGAAGCAGGCCGACATCAAATTTCTCCTGGGATATGTGTAAACTAAGAGAGCTCTGTCTATCCCACCCCCTCCCCCCGAGAACTTTTGTGAATGCTTATCAGAGCTGTATCGACTGACCTCAACATCTTAACAGGACTATGGTGCTATCTGGAAGTGCTTCATGGACAAATCTCACCATCTTGTCATAATGTGTCTATAAATGTGCTTGTTGGGAGAGTTTTTTTGATGTTTTAATTTGTGTCCTGATAAGGACAAGATGTGAAGAGATCTTTTTTATAATACCCTTAACCTTTTCTCATGGCCTTTTCCCCTTTTTCTATCTAAAAGAATAAGGGGCCGCGCTCTTAGGAGCAGCAGCAACGTGCACTCCGCCCATATTTCGGACGACTGTACGAACGTAATCTCACTGTATTTTGGTACAATGATAATGAAGCTTATTCTGATCTTTCTACTTTTCCAGGTGGCATTTAGACTTGCAGTTCTGTCAGTAAAATATTGTGTTTCTAGAAAATAACATGTTCTTTCAAACTGATTGTTTATGAATTAGATATGATTTTATACTTTAACTTTATTTTTACATGTGAATCTGTAAATAACAGATTATCTGAACACAATATGTAGTAAATAGTAAAGTAGAAAAATCATACTTTTATGGTGATTAAAAAAAATCTTTAAATCGTTTAAGAAATTATATACAGTATTTGAGATGTATATATTTTTATGTTGTCCTGGACAAATCATGCAGCAGCTCATGAATAAGTGCCCCCAAACAAAATATACACAAAATAAATGCATACTGTATATAAGTGTATAATAAAGTATAAATAAGTGGAGGTAAATTATTAAACAACACAAACTAAATGCAGAAAAATATCAGAATACACTTCATATTATCTTATTATTCCAGGAGCATGAAAAATGTTTCTATGAAATGTATTAATATAAAATGTACATATTTAACATGATTTAGTAAAATCCAGCTCTAATGTGGTTTTGCAGATTATTTGTGGTTAAACTTTGTTTCGTTTTTATAATTCTTTTCAGGCTTTTGCGATGAAGAGGCTTTTCACAGTAACTTATTAGACATTTTATATGTTGTAGCTCTGTAAATGAAAAGGATCAAAACAAAGACTTTCGAAATAAAATGTCGGTGATGGAGCTTCTGTAAGACAGAAAACCAGCTTACCTCAGTGTGCAACAAATATATTATTATTCATTATGACCAGACGGAGCAACAAACAAATCTTAATGCATGTGAGTGTTTGTAAAAATAATCTTCCATGAACGTGAGAACAAACTGTTTTTAGGCTTTGCTGGAATGACGACTACTGTAGTTTATAGAAAAAATGCTGTTTAAAATATTGAGATTTTGTCTTGTTTCTTCTTTCTTCACCTTTTTCATTGCTTCTTGGTTACTTTCACCTCTTTATCAGGTTTGGGATGTTTGAGTTCCTCAGTAATCAGGCGAGGGATGAAAATGGTCGACTGGACAGCAGCAGAGGGCTGCTGTGTGGGCTGGGAGCCGGCGTGATGGAGGCCGTTCTGGTGGTCTGTCCCATGGAAACTGTCAAGGTAGGCTCATGACCGGGTTTATCATTTTAACCAGGCTAATTATAGAACATATAATTATAGAACATATAAAGCACATGCTGCATTTACATTTGGATATTTTTTAGTGCGAGGCGACATGGTGGTTCAGTTTGTAGAGCTGCCACCTTTGAGCGAGAAGGTCGCCGGATCAAATCCTGGCCGGGGACTTTTCTGTGTGGAGTTTGCATGTTCTCTCCGTGCATGTTTGGGTTTTCTCCAGGTACTCCGGTTTCCTCCCACAGACTAAAAACACGCATGTTAGGCTGAATGGTAACTCTAAATTGTCCCTAGGTGGGAGTGAGAGAGTGAATGGTTGTTTGTCTCTGGAGACCTGTCCTGGGTGTCCCTTGCCTTTCACACAGCGACTGCTGGATATGGGCACCAGTGACCTCCGTGACCCAAAAAGGAAAAAGTGGCTAAAGGTAAAGGATGGATGGATGGATGGATGGACAATCTTAATGTGTTGCATTCTCTTGTAAAGGATTTCTACAAAGTTTGAGAAGTTTTGCCCATAAAACAATTAGTTAATTGTTTTTTAAAGAAATCAACATTCACCATCTTCCAAACTAAAATCAAAACGGGCACAATCAAAGAAATGGCATTATCACAGGAATCACTGATGTAATGTCTCTCAGCTAATATTTACAGCTTGTACACAGATTCCCTCGTGAAAGTTTGTTTTCTAGAGCGGTTTAGACTAAATAAGAACGCATCCGCTCTCCACAAGAACCGTTTCTGTTCTGATTAGCGTGTTCCTCTGCCTTTATCTCCCAAGGTTAAATTTATTCACGACCAGACTTCAGCCAACCCCAGATACAAGGGTTTCTTCCACGGAGTCCGGGAGATAGTCAGGTCCCAAGGTAAAGGCCGTCCCCATCAAACTGCAGCAGCGTTCATGAACAACAAAGTGTTTTCTTCTTTGAAGATTTAAAACCGAGAACACTGGACGTATTCATACAGAATCATAAAAGTGTGATGCAAAAACTACAAGTAGTACAACTTAATCTTGTGCTTTGTAAAAAGTTATTTTTCTTTACTTTTCATTAAAAACAATGGAGGAAGAGAACCTCACATGTAACTGAACTGACCTCTGCTGGACTAACAGAGCAAGAACAGCTGGATCTGTGAGCATGCATGTTGTTTTAAACCTCTGGTTTCCTGTCGGAGCAGGACTCAAGGGGACATATCAGGGCGTGACAGCGACGGTCCTCAAACAAGGTTCCAACCAGGCTATTCGGTTCTTTGTGATGACGTCTCTGAAGAACTGGTACAAAGGTCAGCGTGCACAGGAACTGTTTTACTTTGCTGTGGAGGGTATTTACTCTGCAGCAGGCACACGTGGATTCAGCAGTGTGTTTTTACTCCTTCAAAGGTCAGATTGATCTTGAACGATTATTGGGTGGAGCGAGGTCTGATCATCAGAACTCAAAGTGTTTGTCTTGTGTTAAAATTACGACTCGGTTATTGTCAGAGATTGAGGCCTGCAGGGTTTCAGCAACCATCCGTGCTCTTCATTTGCTCGTTTAACTTTGAGCTGGAAACAAGCTGTTTTCGTTTTTCTGTCCACAAGGTGATGACCCAAACAAAAGTATAAATCCCCTCGTGACTGGAACCTTTGGAGCCTTAGCGGGTGCAGCGAGTGTATTTGGAAACACACCTCTAGATGTCATCAAGACAAGGATGCAGGTACTCTGAATGGTGGCTGCACATGAGCAGGATTTGTGTTCACTGTTCGTCTTAATTTGACTGATACCAGTAAGATAAAACCCTGATGCTTTCATCTTCAAGGGTCTGGAAGCTCATAAATATAAAAACACGCTGGACTGTGCCTTAAAGATCCTCAGACACGAAGGCTTGGCAGCGTGAGTAGATCTTTTACAATTTTAAAACTTTAATCCTGTATCACTTTCTCTGCTTCAGCTTGGAAACACGTTCTCCTCAGTTCATATTTTCATATTTAGATCTATAGACAAATGGAAATTAAACTATTGTGAGTATATTTTTCCCTTTCATACTGTTTTATTTTAGAATATGTTCAATGTTAAATGTAATACAGAGTGGCCTAATGTTGCAAACATGTGAACACTAATGTGAGAGCGTGTAAACTATTGTTTGCATTAAGTGAGCTAAATGCAGTCTCAAAAGAGAAATTTAATTTTCCTGTGAGACTGCAGGATGAAATGACGTTGTTGAAACTTGGTGAAAAAAAACTAAAAATAAGTTGTTAAAGTTTGAATAAACAGAGTAGAGCAAAACCTTAGAGCTTAGCTTTGACTTTTTTCTTGCTTTTTTTCAGCTTCAAGCTAAAAAGAGCAAAAGGATGGCTAAATGCTCAAAAGAGGCAAAAGGCTAGCTAAAAGTATCAAAAGGATTATCAAAAGCTAAAAGTAGCCAAAGGTTGGTTAAAAACTAAAAGTAGTAACTGAAAGTAGCAAAAGGCTAGCTAAAAGTATCAAACAACTAACTAGAAGTTAAAAGTACCAAATGACAAGAGCCTAAAGGAACAGAATAGTAGCTAAAAGTAACAGAACAATGACTAAATGGTTAAAGTAGCAAAATGCAATCTAAAAGTATTAAAAACCTAGACAACTGCTAAAAGTATAAAAAGAATAGCTTTAAGCTTAAAGGGGCAGAATGATAGCTAAAAATAGTAAAAGGTTGGCTAAATGCTAAAAGTAGCTAAAAGCCAAAATAACAAACAGCTAGCTAAACTTACTAAAAGCGTAGCCAGAAACTATAGCAAATGGCTAGCTTACAGCTTAACGGAACAGAATGGTAGCTAAAAGAAGCAAAGGACTGGCTAAATGCTAAAAGTTATTTATATATATATATATATATATATATAAAAGACTAAAAGTAGCAAAAGGATAGCTAAAAACGTTTTTTTGAAAGTAACAAAGATCTTAGCATCCTCCTTTGGTTAATATTTCTGTAAATTAAATATTAAAAAATATAAAAGTCACGCATCTTGTCACCCATTGCCTGAATGAGCTTGTATGGATTTATAACTGAAATGGCACTAAAGAACACAAAAATAGTTAAATTGTAAAAAAAAACAAAAAAAAAACAACTACATACAGAAACATATGAACCAGGAAAACGATAGTGTGAATGCTGAATCAGCATTAATTTTACTGTCCTTCCTAAACAACTGTTTTTTTTGTTAAATTTAGCTCCTTGTTTTTGGTCCACAGGTTCTACAAGGGGACCGTTCCTCGGCTCGGCCGTGTGTGTCTGGATGTCGCCATCGTTTTCATCATCTACGAGGAGGTGGTGAAGGTCCTGAACACTGTCTGGAAGACGGACTGAACTTTGACATGGACAGAGAAGATGGCAGCTTCAGACACTGATCCAAGTAAAGAAGACTTGTTCTGTTAAATAAAAAAACAGCTGCTGAGATGAGGAGACGGAACTGAACTGAGATCAGTGACGTGGACATGGACATTCTGGATGTTCTTGAACTTTACTTGCGTCTACTCTTGTGCCTGTCGTGGTTTCAAAGAATCAAACTTAAAACGTATATTTAGGCCTTTTAATTTCTGTCCTTTGACATTTGGGTTGTTCTGAATATTTTTATACAGATTAAAGTGCAACTCTGCTTATAACCAGAATATTGATGTAGTTTAACTTGTGATGTGCTTCGTTCTTATTGTACTGCGAAAGCTTGTTCAGAGCAGAAAAGGTGCCAGAATAATTTAACAAAAGAGGAGCGAACGTTGTAACTGATCGAGTTATTTAAATTATATTTTAAAGTCAAAGTATTTGTCGAAATCTGAATGTTAAACAAGGCTGAGAGACCTTTTTGCTGTTATTTGGTGCCAAATGTGTCCTGTCTTTCTTAAATACTGTAACTCACTGTGAATGACCTGAAGACGCTGATTCATTTAGACAATATTAGACTTGTCTGTTGAAACTGAGTTGATCATTTTAACACTCCTCTCATGCAGCTTTGCCCTCAGTTTTATCAGATGAGGACCGACTCTCTTCATCATTTGTTCCTGACAACAGATGGCGATGAGATAAATCTGGGGTTTTTTGGAAATAAAAAGTGAAATGAAGTAGTCTGGATTTAAAAGTCCAACTTTGCTGGATTGTTTCAGATTGTTTTTATGTAAAACTGTGTCGGAGAATAGCCTCATTTACTTTAAAATAGTTCAGTATCTTTCAGGTTCATGTTTATTTCAGGTTCAGGCTCTCACTCTTGTGCCTTTTGCTGAAGAGAAAAAAAACGATCTCGATGTGAAGTAACCTCACTGATTACGCAAAAGACTAATAATACGTTTGTCCTGCTTATAATCCAAAGTGATGTGAAAAATAGTCATAATCTGTAGTCTTGCTGTAATGAATAGGTTAAAATGAGAATTATATTTTCTTATTTATTAAATGCGACTTTTTTCTTTTTTTTATTACATTTTTATGTTTGACTAAACAAAATCGATGTATTCTCTACTGCCAAATACCCAACAACAAATTTATTGTGAGAATAAATCTGTGCACTTCAGACATGTTATGTGCAAGTGTTTAAGGTGTGTGTGTGTGTGTGCAATTCAAAAGATATTTGTGTAGTAAATACACCCCCCCCACTTTTTTGGTCATTTATTTCTAAACTCATAAAATGCATCTGAAACTTTAAAAGCACACAGACTCACCTGTGGAAACCTGTTTCTGCCACAGAAGAGAAGTAATTTGTCAAATGGTGACTCGTAAATACGAGTTTTTAAAGTCAATATTGGAGTTTCAGACAAAATTATGAATTTTTTATACACTTTAAAATCATACTTATGAGATTCAATATCAAAATTATGGATAAAAATAATTGAGTCATTTAAAAACTTTAATATACAAAGTCAGAATTGCAACTTTGAAAGTCACTATGAGATTAAAGGACATTATTATGAGATAAATGATCATGTTTTAACTTGGCCTTTACTGATAAGATAAAAAAGTTTTTTTTTTTGGTTTGTTTTTGTTTATTTAGATCAACAAACTGATGTTTTGTCTAGACTCGTGGACAAAAAATGACCAAAGCAGCAGAAGCAACCTGTTGGAGAGATACAACACAAACGGCAGCCTCTAAAGAGGATTGTGCTTGTTTTTTTGTTTTTTTAATTTTTATTCATTTTGTCATTTAGCCCCAAAAGTAACTCAATTGTCTTTAATTTGAACTTTTTCCAACAAAATGTGCTTATTGACATGCTTTTATTACTCCTGCTGTTTCCAGCTGACAAAGGCATGGAGCAGTTGGCAGCCTGCACAAGTTTAATAAGTTATTAGTTTTTAATTAAGGACACATTAACCACAAATATGAAAAAGGTGCAGATTTTGTTTCTTTTCTCTCTGATTGGTCTTTATGACTGCAAACTAAACATTACGAGTTAAATTGTAGTTCATGCTGCAAAAATAGATTCTAAACACTAGAGAGAGCTGTGGCTCTAACATACGCATGCGCACGTTTCAGTTTCAGATTACATTGTGGGGATCAATTTTGCAAAAAAAAAATCCCACATTGTGGACTAAAGCCTGGTCCCCATAAGGAAAAGTCTTGTTGGGGGGTTAGGATTTAGGACTAAGGTATGAATTGCAGATGGGTTCGGGTTAGGCTATAGACATGAATGGAAGTCCCCACAAAGTACAATTACGAGAACAGACACACACACTTCAGTGAGATCCAGCTTCTCACTCTTCATAGCTGTACAAAAGGCCTTTATGAGGCGTGTCAAAGTGGCCACCATCCTCCCTTCATTTTTTCCTCACCTGCACCTCCTCTCTGCTCCTCTCATCTCCTCCCTGCTGCTGAGGAGTGATCCATCAAACCTCTCATCATCTTCACAAACATCATCGTCACAGCTCAGGCCTGGAGGTCGCTTCAGACTCCACAGAAGAATTACTGTATTTTTCTGTTTCTCTCTTCACTTTCCTCTCATTGCACCTGAGATAATCATTACTTGAGACAAAACAGAGTCTAGACTTCCACAAACATGTGAGCGTTGTTCATCTATGTGCACGTTTTACTGAGAAATCTGTAGAACCGGCCGTTTGCTTTGTTTCCCTGCCTCCCCTCGTTTACGTTTTTCATTCATGTCATTTCGTTTTATCAGAACTTCCTTCATTCCTGGATCCTCCAAATAATTCTGCCTTGCATTTTTATATCTGAACTGTTTTAATCGTATCTGTGATTTTATCTCTTCCCTCAACCTCTCAGGGTTAAACAGTTTCCTGAAGTTGAATCTGAATGTAAAACAGGACTTTTATTTTAGCTTCTGTTTGGCTGCTTGAAGCTAAAAGGAGAACCAAATGCAATTTAAGAGCTGAAATTTACTGAAGAAGATTAAACTAAATTGTTAAAACTGAACACTAGCTATAAGCTAAAAGTAGCCAAGCTCTGGCTAAGAGTCCTAATATTAGTCTGAAGCTACATGTAGCAAAATGTTAACTTTAAGTTAAAAGTAGCAAAATGCCTCCTAAAAGCTACAAATAATGTAAGGTTAGCTTAAAGCTAAAGGCAGCAATAGAAGTAGCAAAAGCCTAGCTAAACTACAAGTCACTAAAGCCCAACTAAATACAGTAGAATAATAACTAAAAACTAAAAGTAGCGAAACGTTAACCAAAAGCTAAAAGCAGCAAAATGCCAATGAATTAAGCTGAAAATGAAAGGTTAGCAAAAAGCTGAAGACCGTAATAACTAAGTCTCAAAAATCTAGCTAAAGCTAAAAGTCACTATAAGAATGATGGCTTTAAGCTAAAAGTAGCAAAACTTTGGCTAAGAGTCTTAAAATATTAGCCTATAGCAAAAAGTAGCAAAATGTTAACTTAAAGCTAAATGCAACAAAACAACTCAAAGCTACAATGTAAGGTTAGCTAAATGCTAAAGGCAGCAATAGCTAAACTACAAGTCACTAAAGCCAAACTAAATATCGTAGAATGATAGTTAAAAGCTAAAAGCAGCAAAACTCTGGCTAAGAGTCTTAAAATTTTAGCTTTTAGCTTTAACTTAAAGCTAAATGTAACAAAATGTCTCCTAAAAGCTACAAATAATGTAAGGTTAGCTAAAAGCTAAAGGCAGCAATAGCTAGAAGT